ATTTTAAAGCCCATAAAAAACTGAATTGAATGAGCTATTAAATGTTAAATTTGTTTCGGTTTTTGATGGGCTTTCGAATGGTGTATGAATTATTTGTGTTGTTATTACAAGTGTTGCTGTGACCCCCTAGGAAAAGGTTATGCCCCGCCCTGTACAAACAGTTTATGAACTTTGACTTGAATCTGTAAATTTTGTGCAAAAATGTATGTCCTTATGTAACAACTTTCCTTTTGAATCTGTAAGTTTACACAGCCTGCTCTAACTTCACTAGTCCCATAATATATAGGTAGTCCTCAGTTTACAATATTTCACTTTGTGACTGTTTGAAGGGTTATCCACTGCAAATAAAGTTTAAAGATAACAGTCATGTAGTAAATGTCTACAGTAAAGAGTCTTGAAATTACCCATCAAAAGACTAAACCTGAAGAATAGACTGAAGATATGTTACAATATTTTGCAGGATGCTAATTATATGTTGTATTGACTTTAAAGAAACTATTTCTTATACAGTATGTCTATATATAAAGTTAGTGTATGCAGATTTATGAAAATCTATTTTCTAGTTTGGCAAATATATTTTTACTCCTTGGATGAAATAGAAATGGCCACCCTAATATTATAAATGTATTGATCTTTCAGAGAACAAATTTGAGTCTGTTGTCTTTGTAGAAGATGCTTATTTCTTGCATTTCACTGTTGTTTCTTTTCAGAAATTGTAATTAAAAAACCTGAACAATTTATTGAGCTTGCTAGTCCTTTTCTGAACTTCAGAGTTCCTGCTATACCTATACCAAGAGACACGTAAGTAGATCAATCAGTGGGCTTCACTGAGTATAATTCAGTATTGTGTAGTGGCAAAAAGTATAATTAAAATTATGTTAATTATAGTTAACCCCTGAGAAGCATGGGGATAATCTACAGAAATGAAAAAGGTCTGTTTCAGGGTAATTTTATTCTTATAAAAATGTAAACATTATTGTAATAGTTAAATTTCAAAAATCTTATGTAGAAATGCAACATATTCTAGATTTCCAAAATACTGAAATATGCTTGAATGTTTTAGTATTATTTCAGTATAGCAACATAATGCTGTTGGTATGCTATTATAGCCATTCCTATATGTGGAACTTTTCCATTTCTGTTACATATTGATAATTTTTCATTTTTTAGCAATAGCAATAGACTTATCTACCACTCCATAGTACTTTAGTGCATTCTCTGGCAGTTTATAATGTCAGGATATTGTCCCCAACAATCTGGGTTCTCATTTTACTGACCTCAGAAGGATGGAAGGCTGAGTCAACTTTGAGCCATCAGGACTGAACTCCAAGCTGTGGATAAAGTTAGCCTGAAATATGTCTGGGTTCCAAGTAATCCGTCGCAAGCAAGAATCTGAGGCAGGTGGATTCCTCAAAGAATAGCTTTATTTGGAAAGATCAAATTGGCACATATCTGGTGAAAACCCCTTGGTTTTCACCTAATTAAAAGTAAAAGTTTTTCCTCCAAGCCTAAACAGTCAGTCACATGGCCCAATCAATGCAGTGTCCGCTAGTCTGGTGACATCACACCTCCTTCCCCCAGCCAGGTGTGAGAACATCCTTGGTTCTCATGAGAAAGAATTTTATTTTGACTACACAACCCAGTTATTTTCAGAGAGGGCTTATTTTTGGGAGAGGGCTTATTTTAGCGCATGTGCTCAAAAGCCTGATTGGGCTTATTATCCAGAGAGGCCTTATTTTGGCGAAAACAGGGTAGAATTGGCATAAATATTGAAATGGTGGATAGCTTCTGCCTTTTAGAATCAACTGTCAATGGTAAAGAAGCCATCTGTGAAGAAATATGCTACATACTAACACTTAGTAGGATAGCAATGAAGTCCTTGGAACAGATAGCCAGATGCTGTGATATGTATGTATGTATGTATGTATGTATAGCATTTAGATTATATACCACTTTATAATGCTTTACAGCAGTCTAAGCTGTTTACAGAGTCAGCATCTTGCTCCCAACAAAGATCAAGTACAGGCAATCCTTGATTTACAACAAGGATTTATTTACAACAGTTCATTTAGTGACTATTCATAGTTACAACAGCACAGAAAAATGACTTGTGACTTTTTCACACTTATGAACATTGCAGCATTCCCATGGTCATGTGATCAAAATTCACATGCTTGGCAACTGACTCATATTTATGATGTCCTGGGATCTGGTGATCACCTTTTGCAACCTTCTAACAAGCAAAGTTACCAGATTCATTTAACAACCATTTTATTTACTTAACAACTGCAGTGCTTCACTTAACAATTGTGGCAAGAAAAGGCATAAAATGGAGCAAAATTCATTTAACAACTGTCTCACTTAGCACCACATGTTTTGAGGTCAATTGTGGTCATGTCGAGTACTACCTCTACTAATCAGGCAGTTGTTTTCCCTGTGTTAACAGGATTCAAAGAATATTGATACTTTTAAATGTTGGCACTGAAAACTTTTGAGAATGCCATGGGAAGCCAAGAAAACAAATGGATCATAAAACAAATCAATCCAGAGTTCTCATTTGATATACAAATGATCAAGTTCAAATTATAGTATTATGCAAATATCTAGCTGTCAAGAGAAGGCTCTAATGCTGGGAAATCTGATCACCAGGATGGACTCAGTTAAGCTCTAAAAAACCCGAAGGGCCAGGTTCAGGACATACCACCCTAAAAAGGTCAATCTATGTGATTGCTGAGAGTTGACAAATAATCAATTTTCAATAAGACATCTTCAAAGGAAAGAAATATACCATGATATACAGTATATCAAATCTTCCCCTGGATTGACATTACGTTAAGAGCTTGAGAGATATTTTTGAAGCACAATAGAACATTATTTCTGCAGTTAATTGTATTCAGGGTGTTTTAATATTTGAAGGACTTTTAATATTATGTGCTACACTCTTCAGTTATACTTTATGTACAATGGTCCAGATAATATATAAATAGAAAAATCACTTCAAACCATCCTTGTTTATAGACCTGGAATCAAAGTCATTTGATTGATTGTGGGATATTGGTCTTGCCAGATGTATAGCAATTCCTATTAACTGGTTGGTTTAACGTGAGGAACTAAGGGAATTGGGGGGGGGGGGAATTAACAAGTATAGAGTTGCTGCAACAGAAGAAAATTTGGGTATATGCGTGAAGACTAGAATTTGATATCAATTTCCAGGGGAAAATGGATGCATACATAAATATTTATTTATTACATTTATATTCCAAGGCAACCATTTAATAGAGAAATCAACATTTCAGGATATCTGGAAATGGTGAGAGCGATATTTTAGTCCATGTATCAAAATTAGGGAGATAAAAATGTTCAAAACAAGAAGATGAGGATTTAGCTTGCTTTTATTTTTAAGACAAATGTTTATTTGTATCTCTTTAGCCACTTTCCACCATCCACTTTTAAAAAGGGAAATCTTCCAGCATCCAGCCTTCCTTGTGTCACTGAAAGTGATGAAAGTGCATTTGACAGTTCTGGAGATACGAATATCAGTTTAGAAGAAAACTCTCAGGTTACGATGTTACTATTTTTATTTATTTATTTATTTATCCATCCATCCAATTTCTGTAATTGCTCAACTCAACCAAGTGACTCTGGGTGGCTTACAATTCTAAAATTCTAAAACAATAAAAACATCCCCCCCAAAAAATAACTATAAAGAGCAATTGTGGCGATTATTCAGCTAATAGTAAAACCAACTAGCAGAGCCCTTAATAGATTCAGAGCCCCAGACCTGGACACATTGCCAAGTTTTTAAAGCTTTGCAAAAAGCCAACAGGATTCTGATCATTGTAATCTCCAAAGGGAGAATGTTCCATAGGGCAGGGGCTAAAACCCTGTCTTCTAGTTCCCAACAGTTGACACTCTGGGTGATGGAACCTGCAGCATGCCCAATCTGTTGGATCAAGTTGGATGAGTAGAAACTCTTGGAAAAAGACTGTTCCTCAGGTAACTTGGTCTCAAGCCATGAATTGCATCTTGAATTGCACTCAGAAACAGACTGACAGCCATTGCAGCTCACGGAGTAGTGGTGTTTCATGTGCCATGCCAGTACCATTTATTACCCATGCAGCCACGTTTTTCACCAATTGAAAATTCCAAATACTCTTCAAGATCAGCTCCATGCAGAACACTATGTATACTATATTTATATTTATATATTTATATACATAGATATTTTTATTTTATATATCTCTATACATTTATATTTAATTAAATCTAATTCAAGCCAATATTCAGATGAGATGCCAACATTGCCAGCCTCCATAGAGTGGAAGGACTTGCTTAAGATAGTTGACCCCAATGCCTCATTGATCCAGATCAATTCTTATGAGTCATTGAGGATTTTCCCTACAATCTGGAATTAATTCCTCTGAATATGTAATCAGAGGACTACTTTAGAACAGAGAGGTGACCAGGGATTGGTTTTTAAACCCTTGTTTGCTTTTTGGTTTATGAAGGATTTCCAAGGAACAAAACAATCACAGAGATATATAGAGAAATGGAAGAGAAAGACCTAAAGTAAATTTCACAAAACATAAAAAGAGCTCAGACTTGAGTCTACACCATGGCAATATGGGCAGCAAACCATTCAATTTTCTATTCTTATTGCAACTGTGCTTCAATGGCCCTATCCCCTTTTACAAGGAATGAGGGCAAGAAGACTCTCATTTCACTAACATTAGGCTACATTTGTCTAACATTTTACTAGTACAGTTGGTTACTTGGGGTTCTTAGAAATTATCTGAGAATAATTTTAGTTTGTTAGCTCTGAGAAAGTGGATATAAAATTATATTGTATTATTAGCCCCTTGTAAACTGCATCCTTACCCCAGCGGACTCCTTCAGGAATCTGGCTGGGCATGATCAGCTGGATCTGAGAGAGAGTCAATGTTTCACAAAGGGAAGGAGTAATGTTGGTTGTCTTGAAAATAACATCTTAAGTAACAATCAAAAACATTTCTTCCTCTTGAATAGATTTTTTGTGGTTCCAGCTATTTTGGACCAGTTTCACGAAGTCTTAACTTTCCCTTTTTAGGAAATATTGTTGAGAAAGTGGTGAGATTACAGTTAGAAGAAATAGTTTCTCTGGCTCACTGTCAGTTTGTTTCAGACAAACTGGATAATTGTTGTAGTTGAAAACTTTAATTAAGACTTGATTGGGGACTGGTTCTTCCTGGTCTTTCCGGTCAGTAGCCTTTATTTCCATTAATTATCATATTTGTATGGGCTCCTTGAAATTTGATGGCATTGGGTTATGGTGTTTTCACTCCTTCTGGAATGGAAAATCTCATTCAGTAGCTGAGGAAAAGGAGAGATTAGTCTGGTGGCTGCTAACATATATCCTGCTATAGGGTTCAGCTGTCTCTCATGTTTTTAAACATTTATGTGAAGCCTTTGTAAGAGGTAAATCTGCCAATTTGGTCTGAAGTCTCCTCAGTATGCATTTCCACTTGGAGCTAGTCTGGAGATCTTCTGGAAGTCAATCTGGTATTTGGAGGCTCTGAGAGACTAAATTAGAAGGAACAAGCCAAAGAATGATCACTGCAAAATGGAGTTACTGTTTTCTAAAAATACCTACCTCTCTCTCAGCTCTGGTTGGGACTATGGTATTTCCAGAAACACCCTTGTTTGTTATAGATATCCAAACTGTTCTGGTTGTGTAAAACAATAGTTATCTCTTCAAGTTTCTGATTAGAGCACCCAGGTGGCACAAGACTGTACTTTGAACTTTAAACTTGGAAAGAGGCTTTGAACCTCTTTCCAATGGCATTTGTCTTAGCACTCAGAATACTACAGTAGTCTCAAAGCAGTGATTTGTATAGTTTTATTATTTATATCAGTGTTTCCCAAAGTGTGGTACGTGTACCCCCAGGGGTACGGGAAGAGTTTGGTGGGGGTACGCGTTGCACCAGAGTTTGGTGTGGATCACGTGGGAATATCCACTGCACCGTGCTTAGCTGCCCCCACAGAACAAGGAAAGAAATAGGCGCATATCGCAGTTTTTACATGGGAACTGGGGCCATCATACATCGTATCGCAACTCATTATGGCGGGAACTTCTGCGCATCCTTCGTGCAGCTCGGGTTAGGCCATTTTTAAAATGCGGGAACATTAACAGTTGACGTTGAACCACGGAGCTGTTTAAACGCCGGAGAATTGCAGTGTTATCTAACGGTTAGACAGTCTTGTGAGGCGTCAAAAATAAATATATTTTGATTTTTATTAAGGCATATGTTTTTT